TGGGTGTGGGTGTGGGGTGTGGGTGTGGGGTGTGGGTGGGTGTGGGGTGTGGGTGGGTGTGGGGTGTGGGTGTGGGTGTGTGGGTGTGGGGTGTGGGTGTGTGGGTGTGGGGTGTGGTTGTGGGTGTGGGGTGTGGGTGTGGGTGTGGGCGTGGGGTGGTGGGTGGGTGTGGGTGTCTTCTCTCAAGTTCATATCCACACCCACACCCACACCCTATCCACGGCAATGAGTTATATTCCAAATCCGACACAAAAAAAGAAGCAGTAATAGAATTCTTTCGGTTCCTCGGCTCAATAAGTGAGATTTTTTTCTAGGAGGAAAACTACTACATTATGGACTTTTTCTCATAGATTAGGTACTAGAAAGGAGAGAAAAAAATAATGGCGTTTTATCCACTACATTTTTCTCGTTATATATTTGCTACAATGGTAATGTCATAGCTCATTTGTTGCTATTTTTGAAAAAAAGTATCTCATAAAGAAAAATGCGACGTGTCCGTGCGTATGTCACAGACGCAAAAAAAGCAAAGGAAGGTATGATTAAAAGTAAATTGTATCTTCATCCATGAGTGTAAAAGTGAGATCAAGAACTGTGAAAAAGGCCAGAATTTTCACCACTGTATTTTTCGATTCAATTTACATAGATATGTGCGGGTGTAAGTGTGGGTGAGAAACTTTTTTTCAATCCCACACCCACATCCAGGACAAATAAATACTGGGCGCATTCGAATGCACCATGCACATCTTTATTTGATTCTCATTCTGCGGAGCAATGAAATTTCTGTTATCGCGTCTTGTACATCAATGAAGAGACAGGAACGTATAATCAATAAAATAAATGAATGACTATTTTTTTTTTAATTTTAAACCTATATTTGGTAAGTTTGGCTTGGTATGCATGTCCTTTTAACGATGGATCATTAGATAAAACAGTGACAGAAAATTTGATAATTCAAGCTGAATGTATTATATTTGACCAGTCAACTCGAATGGAATGGATTTAATCTAAATACATTCGATGATTCGTACTACAATTCAATAAAATCAATTCCACTCACAGATCTACATATGAAACATGTGTTTTTCTCCAATTTTTCACTATGAAATACTACAACTATAAAACACATTATCAATTATTGGCTTCTCAATGGTAGTGGTGGTTCTCAATTGGAAATGGAACGGTTTGATTTATTAATGTTAAAACAGGGTGTGGGTGTGGGTGTGGGTGGGTGTGTGGGTGTGGGTGTGGGTCTTCTCTTCATTCACACCCACACCCACACCCACCCACACCCACACCCACACCCACACCCACACCCACCCACACCCACCCACACCCACACCCACACCCACACCCCACACCCACACCCACACCCACACCCACACCCACACCCTGTTTTCAGTAAAAATGGTCTAGCTCATCAACAACTCGATAGACTTCGATAAAACTTATATTAAGAATAGCCATAATGTAGGGCTACAAAATGAACCATTGACTGATTCAAAACCTTATGAAATTTACAAGGGAGGTGGATGGCACCTATTATAACTTCGTTCTAGCATTGAACAATTTTGGCACTGATGGTACTGTCGATCTACATTCTCTGTGAACTACCTATAGATCGATTTTCAAACGTTTAGCTCCTATAGAAGCTAAGATCCAAAGGGGGGGGGGGGGATACTTTTGTCCACCCATGTACATTGACTATTTCGGTAGACTTATGCGCAGCACAAACAGATCTTATGTAAACTAATTCGACTAAGGATCACTTTGTGTCACAAATTAAGTTAGAAGAAATCAATTTTCTTTTCTTCAGTTTTCAATCTTCACTTGGACACATTCAAATAGTTCAATCAAATAATCTTGCTTTTAATTGAAAAAATCGAGAGAAGAAAGTTCTCTATATTTTCGATTGTTCAAAAGATAGGTTGTCTCAGTTAAGGATCGAATGAATATATTTTATTATTGTAAGAATAAACTTCTGAATGTAAAACAACATATTTCAATTTTAATATAATCACTTTGAAAATTTAAATAAGTCTAAATAGAAAAAATTTGTTGTAAGTTCAAATTCATTTTTATTGATTGTTTAATTATTGAATAATTGATGAAAATATGTATGAATTAAAGAGTAATATCACAAACACCAACCATACTATCACGAGTAACTATTGAAAGTAATTGTTCTCGAGACCAATTTTGTGTATTAGCAGGACGACGAGGAATAACTAAGTAACGTATATCAGATGTGCTATCATGAACTTGAATTTTCATATCATTAGGTAGTATAGTTCCAAATTCTTTTAAAACCAAACGAGGATTTCTAGGTGCACGAACACGATATGATCTTGATTTATACCATCCTGGTGGAATACCAAGTATTTGTCGAGGATAACAAGAACAAAGAGTACATACAATTAAATTATGAATTTTATCAGTATTTTCTACAACAATTAAATCATCACTTTTTTTATCAAGTTTCAAAAATTCCATAATTGTGTTTGTACCATCTTTTAATAAACGTTCTTTAAATTCAGGATTTAACCAAGCTTCAACAACAATATTTGCTCCTCGTAGTTCTATTACACTTGCTTGATTAATTTCAATCTGTTTACGTAATTCTTCATGATTAATAATATTTTTATCAATTAATGCACTAATCAATGATTCTGCTAAATGTTGAGCAGGTAATGGTATTCCTTCACGATCTATTGCTGTTTGTTCAATAATAGCTCTAGCTTCATGAATATGATCGTGATCATGATCTTTATGTTGATGATCAAAATTATATTTCTGATAATCTTCATCTTTATTTTCTTCTATTGATGAATCAGATTGTGATGCAGGCATTAGCCAATGTTGATAAATATCTACATCAATAGTATCATTAGTATCACCTTCATAATGATTCCAAATATCTTTTTGATTAAATCTTACTCGATAAAGAGGTTGATAATGAATAGTAGTACTATCAGTATTATCATAAGCAAAATATTCTGCATTAGAATATGATCCACAACATCTTTCAATAATACCGACTTTACCATACAAATAACCAGGTGTACGTAAATGTGGTT